TTTTTTTTTTTTTTTTTATCATCATATAATAAGTGGCCCTGTGTTTTGACCGTACTATTTTCCAAAGATTCTATACACATTCCCACCTGTTTTTTTTTCCCACCTGTTTAATAAATTTCCTGCTGTTTAAATAGGTAAGCTAGTAAGAGGTACAGCTGGTTTTTTTTTTTTTTTTTTTTTTTTTTTTTTTTTTTTTTTTTTTTTTTTTTTTAGGTAGAATTAACAATAAGGTGTTGTATTAGCTTCAGGTGCACAATAGAATGATTCAACAGTTCTATACATTACCCAGTGTTCACCATTAAGTGTACTTTTAATCCCCTTTACCTATTTGCTCCATCTCCCTACCCACGTGCCCTCTCTCAACCACCAGTTTGTTCTCCATATTTAAGAGTCTGTTTCTTTTTTTAATCATTTTGTTTTTTAAATTCCACATGAGTGAAATCATATGGTATTGTCTTTCCTCTGACTTATTTCACTAGTATTATACCTTCTAGATCCATCCATGTTGTTACAAATGGTAAGAATTTGTTCTTTTTATGGCTGATTAATGTTCCATTGTATATATATACAGCCCATCCATTCTTTTTTTAATTTAAATTCAAGTTAGTTAACATATAGTGTAGTAGTGGTTTCAGAATTTAGTGATTCATCACTTTCATATAACACTCAGTGCTCATCCCAACAAGTGCCCTCCTTAATGCCCATCACCCATGCAGCCCATCCCCCATCCAACAACCCTCCAGCACCCTGTTTTTCTGTATTAAAGAGTTTCTTATGATTTGCCTCCCTGTTTTAATCTTATTTTTCTTTCCCTTCTCCTATGTTCATCTGTTTTGTTTCTTAAATACCACATGAGTGAAATCATATCCTATCTGTCTGTCTTTGACTGACTTATTTCACTTAGTATAATACACTCTAGTTCCATCCATGTCATTGCAAATGGATTTCATTCCTTTTGATTGTCAAGTAATACTCCGTTGTATATATATACCACCTCTTCCTTATCCATTCATCAGTTGACAGACATTTGGGCTCTTTTCATAATTTGGCTATTATTGATAGCACTGCTATAAATTATTGATAGCACTGCTATAAACATTGGGGTGCATGTGTCCCTTCAAATCAGCATTTTTGTATCCTTTGGATATATACCTAATAATGCAATTGCCGGGTAGGTAGTTCTACCTCTATTCGAGGTAGTTCCTCGAATTTTTTGAGGAACCTCCATACTGTTTTCCTGAGTAGCTGTACCAATTTGCATTCCCACCAACAGTAAAAAAGTGTTCCCCTTTCTCTGCATCCTCACCAACATCTGTTGTTGCCTGAGTTGTTGATTTTAGCTATTCTCACAACACCAAATCTTCTTTATCCATTCATACATGGATGGGCACTTGGACTGTTTCCATATCCTGGTTATTGTAAATAATGCAGTAACAGCTGTTATGATGTAACCACTTTGTGTGGGAGAATAAGACAATGAGGAAATAGAGAAGCATCATAAGAGAACTATAACACGCTGTGTTCCATGTCTGTTTGTGTGATCAGTTGAGAGAACCCCTGGCTTTGGAATAAGCAACTGAAGGTTGCTTAAACTGAAGGTGGGATTCCTCTAACAATTAAACAATGAGTCAGGAGGGAGCTTAATATGCAGCCATAACCAGTCTCTTTAAGGGTCTGTTGACTTTGGACCTGAGTGAGAAGATTTGAGGGATAGGCAATGAGTATTGTCACTACTTCTCTGTCCATTGTTGTTTACAAAAAATGTTCATCTTTAGTGACCCAATGTTAACAATGCTCATATGACTAGGCTTCAGAGGGGAAAGATAAGTAATTTTGTCCTGCTCTTAACTGTTCTAGCTAACTTAGAGTTAAGAGCAATTCCCAAGAATATTATGTGTATGTTGTGCCTTTCAACCATCCTAAGAGACAGTATGCAAATCACAGATGGGATTATTAGCAGAAAGGCATGACAAGCATTTTGCATTCCCAGTTTAAATAAGGGTATTATTTCTTTTTTATTTATTACTTTCTTAATATGTGATTTATATCACTGGTTTTGTTTTAATAGCCTTCTTGGAAAACCTCTATCATGTTAAGAGGAAATATAAATAAAGTATTTCCTGTGTACTCCCCATATTTCCCAGTAGAGTATTATGAAAATGTTAGGTATCCAATAAATGTTGGTTAAATGAAGTAATGATTTAATGATCTCTACATAAAAGAGGCAACAACATCAAAACCAAATCCATCCACCTGGTGACTTCTATAAACTATACACCATTTATATGGAAGTGATAAAACAAAAAAATATGATATGTGATACACAGGAATCACAATTGTTAGAGGGTTAAAAAAAGAACAGTGGCGTGAAGGTTCCAGTTAATAAATCGTTACAGCTAAATTTAATTCCTGTCAATTAAGCTTCTGCTCTATTAGAGTAATTATGTAGGTGATGAAGGGGAAATCAAGATGAGTAAGATTGATTTGATTCAACCGAATAAAATATAGTATATTGTAGTAAAGTGCTATAATAGCTTTTTTAAAGTATGAGACTATAGGGGATGAAGATTATTCACGTAACGATTGGAGACATAAAGTCTGATATAAAAGTTTTGAGAGAGGGTTGACATTTTATCATCTTTTTAAAAAAATTTTATCATTTCATTTCATTTCATTTCATTTCAGCAATCTCTACACCCAACATGGGGTTCAAATTCATGCTCTTCCAACTGAGTCAGCCAGGCATCCCTATTTTATCATATTTTGTGGTTAAGTCTTACCATGAAGAATACAGTATGTCTATCAATGCAGAGCACAGCAATATTATTTTCATATGTTTATTCTGTAGTTACCGATTTCCTTATTATTAGGTCACATGGAGGAATTTTCAGTATTATATTATTTGTAAACATGTTTACTAGTTTTCTTACCTGATTTTTTTGAAGGTTAGCTTCTTCTAAGAGCTGCATGCTATTTCTGGCTCTTACAATAGCTTCATATTTTTCATTTTCTAATTCATTGCACTTTGCTTGTAATTCTCTGGTCTGTTTTTCCAAATGTGTTTTTTGTGCTCTTAATTGAGTGGCTTCTTGCATTGCTACACAGAGTCTAAAAGTCAATAATCACATTGTGAAAGTTAAATGTCTTTAAAGGGAAGAAGGAAAACAGGAGATTTAGTGAGCATCTAGTATAGAACAAACACTATTCTGGTTACTTTCATATGTATTTTCTCATTTGATCTGCACAAAAGTTTTGTAAAGTAGGTTTCATTATTTCCATCTTAAAGAACAACAGACCCAGAGAGATTAAGCATGTGATTAAGTCCATATGGCTAATGAGCTGTAGTGCTGAGAATGAGCCTAGATATTGATTCTAATTATGTTACACTTTTTACAGTATCACATTACATTATATAATCACAAGACAATGTTTTAAAGCAAATCCTTAAAGAATAAGTTGTTGTTTCTATTTATATTGTCTTCTAAAAATTTTCTTTTTTTGCTTGGCTCCCTTTTCCCACTCTCTACCCAATTTAATGTTAATTTACTAATGTATATCGTTAAATATTTTTCTCTGTGTTCATAAAATTGTATACACATATATATGTATGTATACACACAGATAAGCATGAAAAGTACATATACATCGGTCCATAGGTATTTAAACATAATTTTTTTGTGTTATAAAAATTAAGATCATAGGGTGCCTGGGTGGCTCAGTCAGTTAAGCACTGATTTCGTTTTAGGTCATGATTTCACAGTTTGTGAGATCAAGCCACAAGTTGGTCTCTGTGCTGACAGCATGGAACCTGCTTGGGATTCTCTCTCCCCCTCTTTCTCTGCTCTCTTTCTCTCTCTCTCTCAAAATAAACATTAAAAAAAATTAAGATCATAATATACACCCTTTTCTGCACTTGCTTTTCTCATTCAATATCTTACAGAAATCACCTCAAGCAATACATCCCAAAGCTCTTTCTTTTCCTGGTATGATGGATGGAACTTCATTTCACTATTAATTTGTATTTCCCTGAATACTGGAGAGCTTAAGCACATTTTTAGTTTGTTAGCTATGTGAATTGTCCTCTTTGAACTTCCTCTTCATATCCTCTGCCAATTTTTTTTTCTGATGGGTTATTTGCTTATTCCTTTATATGAACTCTTTTAATATTAAAATATAAATGCTCAGATTGTTCTGTATGCTACAAATATTTTTCCAAATCTACTTTTTTGGTTGTTGCTGCCTACTGACTATTTAGGAAATTTTCACTACACTAAAAATGTTCACTTTAATATAGCTATTAATATAGCTGAAAGATAATATTATCTTTCAGCTTCCAGGATTCATTTTTTAATAAAGACTATCTCCCTCATTAATACATTGCTAATGTAATTTCATAGATTTCCTCAAAAGATTGCTATGTCTTTAATATTTTTAACCAGTAAATCTTAATGCATCTGGAGTTTACTTCTGAATGTGTTGTAAGAGAGGAGTCCAATTTAACTTTTTTTCAGATGATGGCCAGTTGTATGAATACCATTAGTAACTGATGAAGTAAAATTATCCCTTTAACATACTAAAATATGCAAATATAATGATTTAGTTATGGATTATCATGTCTCCTTGATCTATTGGCCTATTCTATACCCAAATCATATCAATTTGATTATGACTTTATAATAGGTTCTGATACATTGTTGTTGCTGTTTTTTTGGTATATCTGCTTCATTCATTTTTTTTAACTTTTTTTAAAATGTATATTTATTTTTGAGAGAGAGAGAGAGACAGAAAATGCAAGTGGGGAAGGGACAGAGAGAGAGGGAGATACAGAATCTCAAGCAGATTCCAGGCTCCGAGCCATCAGCATAAAGCATGACACGGGGCTCGAACTCATGGACCATGAGATCATGACCTGAGCCAAAGTGAAACACTTAATGGACTGAGCCACTTAGGCGCCCCTCTGCTTCATTCTGAATGAAGTGAGATAAGGTCTACTACCATTTTAGTCAGGGTTCTTAGCTGCAGTAGTAGAAGCCAACTCTAATTTACGCAGAAAAAAGGTTTATTAAAAAAGATATTGGTAAGTTCACAGACTTACTGGGAGAGCTGGAAAATCAAGTTTGAAGCTTTGTAGCAAGAAATATGCCTAAAACTTCACCACAGGATTAGCTGATTCTCTCTTAAAGAACTATAATCTGGGGAATTACCCAAACATGGAAGGGAGGAGATAAGATGCAGATGGCCCAAAATAATGATCATAACTATATTCTATCAAATCACCCTTTCATCAAATTTCCTAGCTTTTGCATCACATATTTAGCTATCCTATTACTTACTATACATAAGGTTATTAATGTATCTTTTTCAATATGGTTCTATTTTTCATTATATAAAGTCTCTCTTTGTTCTGTTTGCTGCTTTTTACCATGAAACCATACCTAGTATAATAGTAAGACTCACTCCTCCTTTCTTTTTTGTTTATAGTTGATAATATGCTCCACTAAAACCTTTACTTTTTTATATTTATTTATGACAGAGAGAGAGAGGGAGAGAGACAGAATCTGAAGCAGGCTCCACACCCAGTGTGGAGCCCAATGTGGGGCTCGATTTCACAACTGTGAGATCATAACCTGAGCCTAAATCAAGAGTTGGACGCTTAACCTACTGAGCTACCCAGGTGCTGCTAAAACCTTTATTTTAAATTTAAAATAAATCATCTTTCTTTCCTTGAAATCTTTGTTCTAATTCATTTATCCTTTGTTTTAGGTATTTTCTAATATAACATATTACTGGGCCTTACTTTTTAATCAAAATTTGCAAGTCTCTGCCTTTTAATGGAATTCAGTCCTCTCATATTTTAATGTGATGATTTATATATATGACATTATTCATTCTATTTCACTTAAAAATTTTTTTTAATGTTTATTTATTATTGAAAGACAGAGAGACACAGAGTGTGAGCAGGAGAAGGGTAGAGAGAGGTAGAATCCGAAGCAGGCTCCAGGCTCCGAGCTGTCAGCACAGAGCCCGACGCAGGGCTCGAACTCACAAACTGCGAGATCATGACCTGAGCTGAAGTTGGTCACCCAACCGAGCCACCCAGGCGCCCCCATTCTATTTCACTTTAGTTAAAGCATTGGTGGTAGAAGATGAAGCAGTCCCTATCTCTCCCAAAGAGGTATAGGGTACATGGCACTTTACTAGCATTATTAGTTGAGCCATTTGCTTTACCATGGCATCCTCAGGGTCAAGCAGAGCAAGTAACTCATGAAAGGCATATGCCAACTTCATCTCTTAAAAGCAAGCTTTGTTTAGGACTGTGTGAATTCCAATCCTCAGACAAGTCTCTCTGACGCTCACTTCCAGGCTTCACTAACACTCATGTCAGAAAAAGCCTTGCAAACAAAAGATTCACATGCATTCAACAGTCTAGCAGCCCCAGCAACCACTTGGCTCTGTAAAGTCAGACTGGTGTTAGGAGTCAAGTGGAATTACAGTAAAGCAGATTCAGATAATCAGTTTCAAAATATATAGGTTTTCACAATTTTATAACATAAAAGGTGTATTACTACTATTCTTACTCTAATAAAAGCGCTTCTACATGCTCTATAGCCAAATCTTGCAAGAATCCTGTCAACTTGCTAAAATTGGGTCCAATTCCATCTTTGTAATAATGGTAACAACAAGGATAATAGCAAAAACTTGTAATAACATTCTTTGTGCTATGTACTTTATGTTAAAGAAAACATAATCCTCAATATCTTCAACAATGCTGTGAGATAGGTTACATCATTAACTTATGAGATAGGATATAAAGTTATAGTACATAAAAGATAGGAGATAGGTTATATCATTACAATTATCTTATAGATGAAGAAACGGAAGTACAGAGAGTAATCAACATGCCCAGGGTTATTTATCTAGTTACTGGTGAAGCTGGAGTTTGAACTTAGTCTAGGTCCAGAGCCAGTGTTCCTAGTAAATATACTATACTGCCAAATAGAAACTTCCACTTAAATGGTACAGATCCAACCCACAGATCTATGTATCTATAACTACACAGCAGGGGGCGGTCATTTCAACTAAATTTGGGGATCAGAAGACATACCAAAACCCAGGGTATTGAGTGAAAGTTTGAATATTGAACATCATTACTTCCAGACTCCTTCTTCAACTTTGGAATACACTCACGCTTGTGCATTTCTACTCAGCCCACAGCAGAAGATTAATGAATCCTACCCTGGGAAAACTGGCTCAAGAAAGATTCTCATATATGGGGACTGCCTAAGGAAAAAGCCAGCTTACTGACTAAACATAATAAAGTCTGGCAGATCCCAACCCACCTGTACACACTTAGCTTCCTATCTGCTTTCTGGGGTCTTACTCTTTATTTATTTTTAACTGAAACATATTTGATATACAACTCTGTATTAGTTTCAAGTATACAACATAATGATTTGGTATTTTTTTACATTGCAAAATGTTCACTGTAGTAAATTTAGTTAATATATATCACCACATACAGCTATAATTTTTTCTTATGAAAACTTTTAAGATCTATTCTCTTAGCAACTTTCAAATATACAATACAGTATTATTATCAATAATCACCATGTTGTACATTACATCCTATGATTTATTTCTTTTATAACTGGAAATTTGTATCTTTTGACCATCATCTCCCATTCCATCCCCTACCCCCTCCCCGGCAAACACCAGTCTGTTCTCTATCTATGAGTTTGGTGTTTAAAGATATGGAATGCTTCACAGATCCGCATGTGGGCCATCCTAATTTTCTCTGTATTCCAATTTTTAGTATATGTGCTGCTCAAATACTTTGGTGTCTTACTATTAAATATCAATGGATAGAAAGGATCACCAAGCATTTGAAGAAAGACAGATGGGCAAACAGAACAAAAGGAATGTAGAGAGAACACAGATAATGCAGATAGCAGAAGAAAACCTTATAAGATACATATTTAATACACTGAACTAAGATATATTATATATTAAATAAGAATAAGCTACTACAGAAAAAGAAACAGAATAAGAAATGGCTCTTTAAAATAAAATTTATGATAACTAAAATATTCAACAGATGGGGCACTTGGGTGGATCAGTTGGTTATGTGTCCAAATCTTGGTTTCAGCTCAGGTCATGATCTCACAGTTCCTGAGTTTGAGCCCTGCACCAGGCTCTGTGCTGACAGCATGGAGTCTGCTTGGGATTCTCTCTCTCCCTCTCTCCCTGCCCCTCCCCTGCTTGCTCATGCACGCTCTCTCTCTCTCTCTCTCAAAATAAATTAATTAAAAGAAAAAAGTCAACAGATGGCTAGTTAGAAGAAAATTTAAGGAAACCTCCAAGAAAGGAGAAAATCAATGAAGGAATGGAAAATCAGGGAGAAAAGATAGAAAAATTAGGTAATCAATCCGTAAGGTCCAATATGAAACTCATATTAAGTTCAAGAAAAAAGAACAGAGGAAAAAAATGAATAAAACCATCAAATGAAAATTCCTTGAACCGAAGGACATGAATTTCTAGACTGAAGTGTTCCCAGTAAGATGAATGAAAAGGGATTCTCACTGAATGTGCACACTGCAATTTTAGAACACTGATTGTGGTGGTGGGGGTGGTAGATGATCCTAAAAGTCTTCAGAGGGAAAAGAAGAGTCAAAGAGAAAATATTGGAATTTTGAATGACATAGGAATTTTTTCCCTACATCCAAAGGCTAGATAATATAAGGAAAATGTCAACATTCTAAGAATAAGTGATTTAAAACCTTGGATTTCCAACCTATGATTCATTACTCAAGGAACTATCAAATACCTTTGAAGCAGGATAATAATATTTCTAAATAAGCAACATCTTAATAAATGTATCCCATGTATCTTCAGAAAGCTGATGAATCCATCAAATGGATATTTGGTGGTATCCATCAAAATGAGGGGGAATTAAGAAAGAAAGCAGCATTCATGGGGATGCAAGACAGGCTTCAATATAGGAATGGCAAGAAGGAAATCGCAGGACCTAGTGAATTAAAGTTTTAAAATGAGAGCTTGCATCAGTCCTAGTGAACAGTTTGAGGCAGAGGATGGAGGACACCAATGGATTTCTTTAAGAAAAGGATGTAATGGCAATGACCTCATGTGGTTGACCAGATTGAGAGTCATTTTAGAGCTTTGGTAGAGTATTTAGCCAAGAATGAGTATAAAGTACATAGAAAACTTACTATGTGAATAAATGAGATAATTAACAAGAATGTATTTTTCATTACAATGCTTGTGGTACTATACGATTTTGAAACAATGCATATATATTTTCCTGATAAAAATAAAATTAAAAATGAATAAAGCCAATTTATAACTAATATATAAAAACCACCTTACAGAAATAATATAATTAAATAATTTTATTTGGTCAATATTAAAAAAATACTCAGATTAGTTTGAAAACATTTCATAATAATCCAAAGAGCTATAATTGTGGGGAAGATTTAAGACTTTTATTCTTTGTAACACTGAAGACTGCTTTATTCTTTGTGACAGTTTATTAGACTTTATTCTACCTTGTTCTATTTCATTAAGACCATTAAAACAATTAAGATCCAAAAACCATTTTTTACTGTTCAGAATTCTCATCATTTGTTAGTCTAATAAGTAGACTAGTTCTCCTCCAAATACTTGTTCATTCTATTAAATCCTAAATCTTATACAAGGTAAAGGTTGAAAGTGAAAAGAATTGTGAGTTTTCTAGAAAGAAGTTAACTTTACTCTGAAAGAAGGGGAAGATTTGAGAAAGTAAAATAATAAGCATGGTGCTAGGTTCCCTATATATTCTTATCTCATTTAATCCTAAAGAAACTACAGCTAAGTGAGGTTGGTTAACTCCTCCAAGGTACAAAGACAGAATACACTACAACCAGAAATCAAAGCAACTTTGCCTCTAAATCTCAAAATCTTTCTCTCCAACAATTTATATTCCTGTCGCCAAATAGCCTCACTTTGAAAATATCATCAAATTAATCTTCATAAAATATTAATTTCATCATGTAATCCTGACTCAAGAATCTGTAATACATCACATGAAATCCAAATTTGACTATCTCCAAGGCCCTCCATATTTTATCCAACATATTCACTAATTTCCAATGCATGGCCTTCTATTCTACTTAAAATCGAGACCATATTTCAACATCTTTAATTAAAGAATTTATGTATTCTATTATGCTTAGAGTAGGGATAGAAAATAAAAAGCTGAACAATGATTGGAACGAAATTCACTTTCCACCAGTCACATAACTGAAGGTTTTGTAGTCCTATTTGCATATTCTCATTTTAAAAGAAACATCAAATTTAAAAATATGAAGAGGTAACTTAGAGCAATTCAACTCATTTAACTTCTGCCTTATTCAAGCTGAGCATATACAAACCAGCAAAATATTTCCCAGAGAGAACTGTCATTCTCTGGAGGTAATTAATTCCCAGGATCCATGAATCATCTAAAAAGGGGAATGGAGGGGATCCTTTCTTTGAAAGACAAAGGAAATGGCTTAATGCTTCTCAGATGTTTGTGGCATTTGAAAGAATCACAAAGAATAATTTTAAAAATAAATAATAATTTTAAAATGCCAGAGAGCATTTATTGAGGCAAAAATGTCTTTGATTTTGTGGAACAAAGATGACCATTAAAAAGCTTATCTTTTTTTTTTTTTTAAAGTTTATTTATTTTGAGAGAGAGAGAAAGAGAGAATATCCCAAGCAGGATCCATACTGTCAGCACAGAGCCCAACATGGAGCTTGATCTCAAAAACTGTGAGATGACCTGAGCTGAAGTCAACAGTCAGACGTTTAACTGACTGAGTCACCCAGGCGCCCCCAAAACATAGCTTTTCTAACTGCAAGTTCCATTAAATAAGATACATTTACACCTAAAACATACTAGCTAAATATTGTTTAGAAACACATATCAAATATACTAATAACTTTGCTTTCTCCTACGTAAAATACAAGAGATTTTTTTTTTTTTAATTTTTTTTTTCAACGTTTATTTATTTTGGGGACAGAGAGAGACAGAGCATGAACGGGCGAGGGGCAGAGAGAGAGGGAGGCACAGAATCGGAAACAGGTTACAGGCTCTGAGCCATCAGCCCAGAGCCCGACGCGGGGCTCGAACTCACGGACCGCGAGATCGTGACCTGGCTGAAGTCGGACGCTTAACCGACTGCGCCACCCAGGCGCCCCTACAAGAGATTTTTAAAGTTTAAAATATATAATTGTTTTTATTCTAACAGTAATATTAGTTTAATAGCTCTAAAAGGAAGCCAATGTAACAATTTCCTTTTCAGAGGTGGCTAGCTGAATACTGGACTTTAAAAAATATCCTTAGATTTTCTTATATAGGCAGTGATCTCTTCTTACAGAGCTATTTGGTTAGATCATATTATAGCTTTATATTAAAAGCAAAACAAAATAAAACAAGAGTAACAAAAAACCACAAACTCTCAACATTAAAAAGACAACTAAAAGCACTGCTGAATGAAAAAAAAATGAAAGAAAAAAACCCAAAAACCTAGGTTTTTTATGATTCAATGCTATCAGAATCAAAAGGAATTGATACTCACTATTCAGTTAACTGTCTCAAGTCTCTAGCATTTTTCATAGCATAGAATAGCCACTAAGATAACAGAAATGAAAATCTACAATCACAAATTTTTTTCTCTAAGGTTAACACAAAGAAGTTCAGGAAAGCAGCAGTACAATAAATCAATCAACTGCTGAAAAGTTTAGATAACTGAAAAACAAGAACCCAAGACCCTCGTACATAAAATTATAACTCCTTTCATCACAAGTTAGTAGTTAAAATCAATTAGTTCTCAACCTGCTATGAGAAAATAATATTTTCATTACTATTTTGAAGTACAGGAAACAGAAGGTTAAGTATACTAATTTTTCTTCTGAACAAACAATAAATTAGCCATGGACTAGAATGGAGATCTTGATTTTTTTTTTTTAAATTTTTTTTTTTTAATGTTTATTTATTTTTGAGACAGAGAGAGACAGAGCATGAGCAGGGGAGGGGCAGAGAGAGCGAGAGGCACAGAAGCTGAAGGAGGCTCCAAGCTCTGAGCTGTCAGCACAGAGCCCGACGCGGGGCTCGAACTCACGAACTGTGAGATCATGACCTGAGCCGAAGTTGGACGCTTAACCGACTGAGCCACCCAGGTGCCGCAAGGAGATCTTGATTTTTAATGTGCTCATGTTAGCAGGCTATTTATGAGATTCCAATCAGAGTAGATATTTCATTTACAAACCATAAAGTGAATTTATGGGCTGTGGTCACTGTATCTTTAATAGATTACAAATGACAATTTTCAAGTCTCTTAAGGAAATAGATAGCAATTAAAAACAACCTACAGATACATTTAAAAAGTAGTCTAGACCTTCAACGACAACTGAAATTACTCCTCCAGAAGGTTCCAGGGCAAACATCTATAATGATTTCTTGGGTATTTTTTTTTCTCTTGTGTGTCTACTTAGTAAGTAGGTTCTACCAATTAGTTTTTCTATATAATTTTTACCCAACTTTTTCTGCTTTAAGATGGAAAGAACATTTTTCATTTGGGGATTCACTTAACTTGGCAATGACTGACTGAGGAAAGGGTAAGACAGAAATGGTCTTTGAATATACATTCAAAATATACCAATATTTTGAACATGATTTTTTAAAATAAATAATGTCCAGTGAATCAGATTTCAAACTTACAAGTATAGTTTGTTTAGCACTATAAAATATATATTCTAGAAAATATCATAAACTGAAATTCTAATGTGGAATACCTTTTGAAGGTAACAGAGAAAGCTAGATGTATTTAACAATTTACCTTGTTTCTAATTGTTTTATACTAGATTGTAACTGCTGTAAACGCCTATCTGATGCTTCCTCTCTTCCCTGGGCAGACAACATATCCTCCTCCTAGAAAATAAAGAAATTGGAATCCTGAGTATATGAAAATATAATACATCATTATATAGCATAAAGAAAAGAATTCAGTCTATAAAGGTATTATACTTCTAGAATTTATTATGTAAGTTTAAAGAAGGGATGACAGGGGCACCTGAGTGGTTCAGTTGGTTAAGAGACTGACTTTCAGCTCAGGTCATGATCTTGCAGTTCACGAGTTCAGCCCCATGTTGGGCTTTGTGCTGACAGCTCAAGGCCTGGAGCCTGTTTCAGATTCTGTGATTCCCTCTCTCTCTCTGCCCCTCCCCCACTCATGCTGTCTCTTAAAAATAAACATTAAAGAAGAAACATTACTAAACATTTAAATATGAGAGCTGTCCATGAAATATGTTTCACTAAAAAAATTCTGTAGCATAGTATTTATGGAATGACTCATTTTACATTAAACAAAATTTAAGTATATGTGTGCGTACACAAACACACACACACACACACACACACACACACACACAGAAAAAAGGTCTTTACGCTATAAATAATCTGTTACCAGTTATTACTTCCTAGGGATTTGACTGCAAGGTAATTTTGTATATCTCTTTATTGCATATTTTGTATATAAATTGTGCTTTTCTTTGTGTATTTCTATGGTATTTGCATTTTTATGAATAGCATGCACTACCCTTATAACTAGAAAAATAATAAAGTTGAATTTTTAAACAAGTAAAAAAGAAAACCAGCAATAACAGTTTAGAAAAAAATCACACATATACTAAATAAAAAAGGGGGAAGAGACCTATTAATTTTATATTAGAAAAACAGTAATCAAAAGTCATTATAAGTTTCACCAATATTTCAATCTACTTCTATAGTGTAAGTCTAACAAAACACAGCACGAACTGTATGTAGATAATCAGCCTTTAGAATATGCTCTTTTAACGTGGTTATACAGCATCCTGTTATAATCACAGGATATTTCTTCTCTGACATAGCAACATTCTGAAATAAATCGGTTTGATTGGCACCACCTTAAAAAAAACCCATTGATACTTCCTTGTCTTCTGTTGTATTAAACATTTTTTACATACCATTTTAATTCTATTGGCTTTTAGCAGTATCTCTTTAAATTATTTTTTAGTAGTTGCTCTAGAGATTATAACATGCATCTTTATCTTATCCCAATTTATTCAGAGTTAATGTTTAACTCATAAAAAACATTTGAACCTTGCAGGAATGTATTTATTTCCATGTATCATCCTAGTCTTTAGTGCCATTGTTATATTACATCTGTGTACTTTATAAATCCATCACATATACTGCTCAATTCTGCTTTAAAGCAATTTTTTAAAAGTATTAGAGAAAAGAAAAATATGTCCATATATTATCTCATATTTATAATTATTATTGCTCTTATTTTCTCCCTATATCTGAGTTGCCATCTGGTGTCATTTCCTTTTAGCATAAAGAATTAACCATCATCATGCTTTGAAGAATAGCTCTGCTAGTGACGAGTTCTCTGTTTTGTTTATCTAAAAATGCTTTTATTTTCCCTTTATTTTTAAAAGCACAGTTTCACTTGACACAGGATTCGTAGACAGCATTTTTTTTCCTCTAGCACTTCACATACTCTTCCAATGTTCTCTGCTTCCAAGATTGTTCTTTTTATTACTATGTTTTTTAATTTATAACCAAGTTAGTTAACATATAGTGTAATAATGATTTCAGGAATAGAATTCATTGATTCATCACTTACATATAACAGCCAGTGCTCAACCCAACACATGTCCTTAATGCCTCTCACCCATTTAGCCCATCCCCCCACCCAGCACCCCTCCAGCAACCCTGTTCATCCTACATATTTAAGAGTCTCTTATGGTTTGTCTCCCTCTCTGTTGTTGTATTATTTTTGCTTTCCTTCCCTTATGTTCATCTGTTTTGTACCTTAAATTCCATGTATGAGTGAAGTCATATGATATTTGTCTTTCTCTGACTGATTTCCCTTAGAATAATATACTCTAGTTCCGTCCAAGTTGATGTAAATGGCAAGATTTCATTCTTTTTGGTCACTGAGAAATATTCCATTGTCTATAGATACCATATCTTCTTTACCCATCATCAGTCGATGCATATTTCGGTTCTTTCCATACTTTGGCTATTGTCGATAGTGCTGCTGTAAACATTGGGGTGCATGTGCCCCTTCGAATCAGTATTTTTG